AGCATAACTTACCGTACCATAGCATAATATAGCGTAGTACACCTTACCAATGAATACCCTACAATACCATACCATACCATATCATATCATACCATACAATATCATACCATATCATACCATATCATACCATATCATTTCATACCATACCACATCACAGATTTCTGTATCTAAAATTTGACCTGATGTTTGCACATTTTCAAAAACCGAAGAATTTCGGAGGGCCGGAGACATCTTCAGGACATTTGGTGACCGAATGTCCGCGGAGTCAAACGACCAACTGACCGCGGCTAGTGACCCCCCAACTTTGGCGACCAATGGCAAGCGAGCGCCAGGGTTCTGCGATCGAGCGAAGGTGGAATGTAGCAGACACCCCACCCCCCAAACATCGCTCAGTCAAGCTACAGCAGGATCTAGTGGTCAAGTTACACTCGTATCTCGCAGTCAACCTAAAGGGGCCAGCGGTCAACTATCTTCACTCGCGTCCAACGGTCAAGTCTCTATCATGACGTGTAGCCAACCTGTCGTCTGTAACGGTCAACTTGCGCTCATGTCTCGTACTCAACCTACGTCCACACCTAGTGGACAAGTCGCGCTAACAACTTCTCGCGGCCATTCTAATCTGGCGTCCAGCGGTCAACCCGTGACCGTATCAGATAGTCAACCGGCTCAAGCCTACGTCTTGTGTTTCGTTAAGCTTCGACCAGACGCCACGTGACGTAACGCTGCAAACGCGTGCTTACGTGTGAACGTATCTAAACTCTGTTGCTATACTCTTGTCTATGCATCTATAATATAATTTTTTTTTTGGGGGGGGGGATTACTGTGACATATCCATGACTAACTGACACCACTAAATTGGTAAAATCTTCCATGCAACTTGAGAAATTGTGAGAAATTACGAGGTTACCATCGCAGCACGCGAAGCCCATTGCCTGACGTCACTAAGCTATATGTCAACAAACGCACGCCTTATGTAAGGCATGTATAGCGAGGTGAAATAACTATTTTTAGCAGCGTGGGATAGTTCACATTCACTTCAGCAGATGACAGCTGTAGAAGGGTTGATGTTGATGGATACTGGCTTAGTGAATATCGTGAAAATTCTAGTTGTATCATGTCTCTGTCGTCATCAGTGACGTCAGCCACGTCTCACTACACATGTACGCAGGCAATCAAAACGCTCTGAAAGTTCACATGTATCGTTATATGGAGAAATGAGTATGTATACGGGTGGCATATAGTGTTAGCCATCGAATAAAGTTGAAAATGAAAAATCGGTAAAATTTTGCCTAAAACCTTGAGAGTATGCTTAATTTTGTTCTTACTCTTTCAGGTGAATGCAGGATTCTGCAAAGCATTAGGAGTCAGTGATAAGATAGCGATTGCCCACCATCCACAAGCTAGTGAATTGGATAAAGACACCACTATGAATGTGAAAAGGTTTGCCAAAAGTTGCCACATTCTTGGTTTTTAATGATCAGGTAGACGTTTTTTGGCCTGCATAACCGTTTTATCGATTTATTCTTGGCCCATCTGATGCGGTCAGGTGGGGTATACTTGATTGAATTTACGGCTGTTCCATTATCCTCGAACAATTGATGTCTCTATTCAACACGCATCTGAGCAGTTATGTCTAAATGCTTACCTTTACATAAACAGATATACAAATAGCCCATAGGTGTACCTAGGGTCCCTATATACAGATAGTTGCGACATGACGAGTCAGAAAAAATCGGTCACGTGATCGCTGGACGC